TGCTGGCAGTGTGGGAGGCTGAAATTCAGAGTCAGTGCCATTTTGGAGCTTGCAGCCTCTTCTCCTTCCCTCCGGACCAAGAGCTTTCTTTCCCAGGGCTGAGCTGGGCTCCCTGCAGCTCCTCCTGGCTGTGCCCATTGTGGGATGGCACCCGAAGCTGTGCCAGGCTCCATCCTCCAGCCAAGGCACCTTGGCATGTCCCCTCTGGGGCCAGAGCCCAGCATGGCCAACATCCTTGTGGCACCATCGCCCTGCAAACCAGCTGCCAAGGGACTCTGGCATGTTGGGATGAGCATGGAAATGTGTCAGATGTCCATGCAGAAACTCTTCTCACACACATGGAGCACTGAGAGGGCCTGAGGGTTTATCTGGGCTGGCTTTTGGGCTCCCTCTGGGGCACGTGTTTCCTACCCTCTGACAGAAGAAGGTTTTTGCCCAAAGCTTAATGAATTGCATTCAAGGAAGGGTTGTCCTGCTGTCCTGCCTTTTCTGTCCCTTTGTTTCCTTTCTCTCCTTGCTGTACTGACAGAGAATCCCTGGATAACCCTTTCATCCTCCCTTCCTTCCTTGATTTTTCAAAACCTAAGCTCTTCACAAGGGCATCAGCCTTCTGCCTGCTCTCTGCCACAGCTGGGCAATATTTTCCATTGCTCAAGGCAAACCTTGGAAAACACAACACCACCTCCTCTTTACATCAGTTTTTGGTCATTTGGGATGTTTTGGGGGGGTCAGGCAGAGACCAGGGGCTGTGTCCAGAGCTGAGGGACAGCTTTGCTTTGCAGGTAAAAGCAGGTATTCCTGCCTGGCTGGGCTCCCAGGAATAAAAACACTACATTGATTCTTTTCCAACAGGTCATGGAAGCCCTGAGGATAATTTTACAAGCCAGGTTTGTGCCTCATGGGGAGTGGGAGACCCTCCAGAAGGGCAGCTTTGCTTGCAAAGTGTTTGCACGTTCCCCGTGGTTTGGCTGACACAGGTTGTGTTACCCAGCACCAGCACTCCTGGCTGCTCCTGTGACAGTGACAGGAGTGACAGTGCTCACAGGACCTGAGCCAGGTGCCTTTGGACAGGTCTCCAGGTAGAGTAGACCCTACTAGCTGCTGGAAGTTATCACTTAGTTCAAAGAGGTACAAGCCAAGCCACAACCTCAAAAAAAAAAAAAAAAAACCTTGAATTTGCCTGGAATTGGGTTGGGCCAAATTTTTATTTATTAGGTGCCTTCTTTCCTGATCTAGCACAGCATGTCCCCAGTGCTTGACTCCAAGAGGAGAGGGGAAATGTCTCCAAGGCTTCTCCTGTGATGTGAGAGCTGCCATGGATGTGTGAGACCATCCTGGTGGATCCCATTCCTGCAGCACATGCCACTTTCTCCCCAAAGACACGTCCCTTCAGAGGGCAGCAGGAGCAGGTTGCTCTGTTGAGGGCATTTCTCCTTCCTCACACAGCTCAGAGGAGCAGGGAGAGGCTGGATGCTCTTGGTTGATGGTTTAACACACATGGTGGATGAGGGGAGATCTCCAGATCTGACAGAGACATCATCACTCTGGTTCTTCCCAAGGGTGGGATCCAGAAGGCTGGATGGGAGCGCTGCCTTACAGACCTTCAGATTTTGGCTTTGTTTCTCACTTTCTGTGGCACAGGATAGGAAAATGAGGGGGAAGCAATGATCTGCAAGCAAAAAATGTTAATTTGTAAATAGGGAAGAGTCTGGAAGAGTTTACTGTTGTGTAGAATAAATTAATTTTATTTAAAAAAAGAAAGGGGATGGGAGGGGGACTTGTTAAACAAATGGAGAACTCGAGTTCCGGTTTTAAAATAAAATCACTTGCAAAAACAACAGCGTGTGAGCAAGAGCTTTGGGCTTTGCTGGATTTGCTACCAAAAAAAAGGGGAAAACCGAGGGAGGATGCTGTCATGTCTCATGTGTGCAGACCCTGTTGGTATCTCTGGGCAGCTGGGGCCAGGCTGGGGTGCACTGAGAAGAGAGGAGGGAGGGAGAGCAGAGTTCTCTGCTGAGCAGAGGGAGGAGGAAGGTGGGTCCAGGCTGCAGAGGACAGGGTTTCCTCTCCTTCCAGTCTGTTATTTACTTTGTCTGGTCTGTCAGTAGTGCAGGATAATGGGGAATGAGCAGCGCTGGGCTGTGAAAATGCCCCTCCCTCACTAAAGGCCTGTGCTAGCATCTCCCGTGGCCTGTCATTCCCCCTCCTCTGCCTCCATCTCTCCTGGGAGACTGTGCCTCATGCTCTGACGTTGTGTGTCTTCCTAGTGTGCTCTTTTCTGCTGAGAATCCCCTGGGAAAACTGGAGCATTGTCCCAGACTGTACTGTGACAGCTAAGCAGTGACAGACGCAGCTAACACATGGCTTTTGGGGGGGTGGAGGGAGCTGCTCAGCTCGGTAATCAGGCCATGCTTGTGTCGTGATCCATTCACAAAAACATTCCCTCCCCAAAAGTCACCAGAGCCTTTTCACGGCGCCCGGAGAGCTCATCCATCAGGAGCTGGGCAGCTGGGGAGGTGACACTGAGGGCTGTGCCTGGGGACAGCTGCTCCTCCTGCCTCACACAAAGCCATTCACACCTCAGCTTATTAGCAAATTGACTAATTACAGCATCGGTCTGGCTGGAAAACATCCCTTTCCTTTCACAGGGTGGCTGGAAGGGCAGGGGCAGGACAAAACAGCATCGAATGCAGAGATTTGATGGTGAAACAAGGGGAAAGCAGCCTCAGCAGAGTGTGGGCTGGATTCCGTGCCAGCAGTGCCCTCTG